GTTATATTCAATAAATTTTAATTTAAATTAAAAATAATGTTTTCTATATTTATTTATCCCAATTCATAAATCATAGAACTTTATTACTTGTATACCTGTACATGTACTGTCAATATAGCATATACCGCAAATAGTACTGTACTTTGTACAGTATGAGACATACTATGAGTACAAATATTTTAGGAACAAATATCTGTACACATAACAAATATCGTTACACATGTACCGTTACTATATATAATATTATATAATAGTATATACCGTATAATCGAAAGGACTGAACATTTAAATCCTTTTAATGTGTCTTTTTATAAATTAATTAAATATTAATTTTTAAAATTTAGTATCATTTTAAAGTACATACACAAGAGAATAGTATCTAATAGTGTTTACTGAATTGACACTGATACATTTTTAATATTCTGTCAAAGAATAATATTATTGTCAAATAATACTGTGTTTCCAATGCTCTAATGTGTGGTGCATTGCACTAAAGTCTGAATTCGGGGTCAAAAGGGTTACGAATGTCTGTATTTAATTGATAATTAATTGTACCTGATAATTTTAAATAATTTCTGTTATCGAATCGATGAGACTTTTAGAGTTAATGTACAGTGCCTCAAAATACAGTATCATATGATAGAAGTGAATGTGTTATGGCATAACAGTTATGCAATACTATGTTATACAGTACTGTATGTATAAGTTATCTTAGATATGATAACTTAGACTACATGTGACTCTCTGTCAGTCAATCATCACTTCTATAGACGACAACATAACTCCTCGATTGGCGACTCATTACACAAATCAACACTTGTTTACCACTTATTGATATAATTAAACACAAATATCATACTAACAGTAATAATAACACAATAGTTGTCATATTAAAGTGGTATTCATCGATGAATTAGTGAATAATAGCGAGCAATGGGTGACTGTGGAGAGGATTTGCCCACAATTGTGGTGACGGGTATGTCCATCAGTTTACACTTAACACAAATTTGTATATAATTTATAATTTAAACAGAGTTACTAAATATCTATATAAATTATTAGTTGCTATTAAAACATTGATTAGTATTTTATTATAGTTAGTTATGCTCATCATACCATACAGGTATTCATAATTATTAATTAAAAATGGGAATTTAAGGTTTTGTTTGCAAAAATAATACGACAAGGTACATTTTGAAAAAAAAATCAGAGTAATGTGAATATTGATCAAAATATATTGAAAATAAGAGTCTTATTGTATCAAGCTATTGTAGACCATTGTATCAAGCTAGTTTTATAAAGATATGATTAACTTTACTAAATCACCTTTTTAAATTAAATTATGCATTATTAATATATTACATGTAATTTAAAATATATTAATAACTTACTGTTATTAATCATGTTTATTATTACTTGAGAATTAAAAATTAAAAAACTATTTTATATTAATTGTGTTAAAAGTTTTCAACTAAGTTATCATTGAATTAACTTACAAATTCTATTGCCCACCAATACTGTATATATATTAAATACAAATTTTGTTTTAAAAGTAAAATATTCAAATAAATGCATCAATTATTTATTAAAACAAATAAATTCCTAAATATTGGTTAAGGATTTGGTTTATTCCGCAATTATAAGTCCAACCCTTCGTGGGATTGTGTCCAACGATTGCGATTAAAAGGCGTTAATCTTAGAGTAGAAGAAATACCCGTCGCTTACGATGAGGTCGACAAACGAGTGGCTCTAATCTGGAGCCGATATAAGCCTTTTGTAAATATATGAATGAGATGTGATTTCATGGTGTATTAGTAGTCTAATGGTTGGATGTGTTGTCTGTGTTAAACAGCTGGTGATCCATTGCGGAGTGTCCTGTTTGGCGAAATGTATCACTTTGGAGACCCGAGCCCTTCGCCACCACACGCTGTACGACAAGCCAGACATCTACGGCCGACTGCCCGACGGCACACAAACCGCTGCAACAAATCAACTCAATTGTTACCAATCGCTGGAACCAAACGACTTATCCGATTGCATCGAAAGTGGGATCAATTTGAAAGAAGTTTGTCATCGAGTGAACCAACACTTCCACAACGGATTCATTCCAATGCCTGCCGTCCTCTCGTCAAACGCCGGAAGGTTTGCGCTGTCATTCACTCGCAGATAATTGATTGACATTTCGTTTGAGTAGATATT